ACATATTATATTATATTATATTATAATATAATATAATATAATATAATATAATATAATATAATATAATATAATATAATATAATATAACATAATGTAATATAATCTAAGACGACGCAAAAGAATAGAACAGAAATAACTCAATACTATTCAATATAGTGTGTTAGAAATGACCAGAACAAAATAGAATGGTATAGAACAAAACAGAATAGAATGAAAAAAACTGATATACTATACTGTACTATACCTTCGATATTACTATACTACAATACCAATACAGCATAGCATAAGCTCGGGTAAGATGACTAGGTCCGCGATCGCCTGGACCGCAAGGCATCCCACGGCCTTTGGGTTCCGAGTTGTTTCGACCAAAGCTCTGAGCCCCTGAAACGGAATGACGAAAACATAGTAATGAGTTTGGTGTTTACGGCCTCAGGGTTTTAGGGTTTAGGGTTTAGGGCCGAGGGTCATAAGGCTGTTGGTTCAGGGTCTATAGGGTTTAGGGCATTGCGTCTTCGGGTCTTGGGTATTGGGTTTCGGTTTTGGGGCTTGCAAAGAAAGCCAGGCCTGCTGGTTATGCACTCGATGAGAGGCATCGGCTAGCCATCCCTGGCTGCGAGTTCAAACTGCTGGGGCAGAATCCTAACATGCCATGTCCTTTGTTGAATACGCTTGACCCTGAACCCTAAACCCTTAGTTGAAGGTCCAGGCCCGAGTTTAGGGCTTCGGGGCCTCAGGGGCCTTAGAGAGGGCTTTACTAGAGCTGCTGTTCCTAAGGTACGACAGCTCCTGACGGAGTCAGATTCAAGGCCGACAGAGATCGAAGCACATAATAGTGTCTTATAGTATATTTTAGTTTTGTTATAGCATACTATAGTATACTATAGTATGTTATAGTGTATCATGGTGTATTATAGTGTACTATAGTATAATAATGAACATAGCAGCCCCTCTGTCTCCTCGTATCCTTGAGCCCTGAGCCTATCACTCCTCGACCCCACAACCCTATAGACTCTAAGACTGAAAAACCGCTTTAGAGCTTAGGACCCTAAACCCTAGACCCGTTTTCTGGAACCCTAAGACAACAACCCTGTGAAAGCCCAAGACCCGGCAGGACAATCCCAAACCCTTTGCCAAAAAGACCTGCCTTGTTGAAGGGATCCTGTGGGCTCGTCTTTGAATCTTTATAGCATAGTATATCCCCATGAATCATAACACTATCGTGGGGCTTTTTCTGGCTCCTGCTTACACTTGCAGCACAGTATGAGCAAGCCGCAAAGAGCATGCCAGATCTACCTGGGCTTTGGCGATGGTCGGTCGACCTGGTCGAAGGTTTGAGCTTCGAAGCTTAGTCTTCAGAGTTTGGGGTTTCGGGGGTGGAGTTCAAGCCTTCGGCTGTCGAGAGTCTAGTGAGATTATACTTAAGGTGTCCAGGCCAGGGTTCAGGCTGGCCGGTTTCAGCTAAACCCCCGCTTGCTCGAGCTTGCATTCGGCTGTACGGCTGGCTGAAGGATATCGGGGCTATGGTGATGCTACTTAAGGTCTCCCGCCTTCTGTGTTGGCGTCGATTAACCCTGAACCAATAGCCTCGGCATTCATACCTACGCGGTTTCTCTACACACGTCTCAGAGCACCTTGCCCGTGCTGAGTCTAGTCGAACGACTTGCGCTTCTTTCCTACACCCCAAAACTACCCAAACGCCCAAACACCAGACCTTCAATCCAGCGTACATTATAGTATATTGTAGTTAGTATAGTAAGTATAATCTTGCATATTGCAATATAACCCTGACCCCCAAAGCCTTCACCTCGCACCGGGGTTTGGGGGTTTAGGGCGTTCGCTGCTGCCATGCGTGCTGATACTGCGAGCCAGGCCAATATAGAAGCCTCAATAATTACACATATTTTTGTTTGGGGTCCCCGATTATTTTTTCTATGATATACCCCGAAACCCTAGTCTCATCATGAACGCCCCTTTATCATCGAACCCTTACAGAAACCCTTAGAAAAAGAACCTGCCATAAAGGAACCTACTCGAATCATTAAGGCCCCGATACTACGGTCTCCGGGGCACCAAAGCCTTTCGCGCCTGGGTCTGTTCCCAGGCAATGCGGCAACTCTGGTCTGAAGGTCATACCTCGGTCGTGAGGCGCCCCAGGGTTCAGCATCCAGGGCTTTAGGATTTTTTTTCTTTTCGGGGCCTTTTCTGTAGGGTTTTAGGGTTTAGGGTTCCGGGCTTAGGATGTAAGGTTTAGAGTTTAGGGTCCAATCTGCCCGTTAGCCTTGTTGGTGCTGGGTTAGCGCCCAAGGTTCGAGGGCCGGCACTGCTATCATACCATCACGGTCTGTCCCTTATTGCTCCTCCGTTTGATGCGTTTGCTGCTGGTTTTGTGCTGGAAGCCCTTTTCTCTCGGACTGCAGAATCCGTGATCTACGATTCGGATTATAACTAACCAGTGTAAGCTTGGCATTGCGCATCCGGCTTTAGGGCCGTAGGCGGGCTTCTTAGAACGTAGCTGTTTTAATCACATCCCTTGAGCTCGGATTGTCCTTTGGCTTCGTCTGTGCGCTCTTGGAGGCTCAGAAGACTTTGTAAGTAGGGATGTAGTTAGGATGCTTCTGACTCCCAGTAAGAACCTACTTCCGAAGTCCCCTACTCCTCTAAGGGAGGCAGGCAGTTCAAGGTTTTGCGATTAAGTAACCTTGAATCCTAAGCCCTAAACCCTGAGCCATAGACCCTGAGGGATCTCAGCTTCAGCGCTTTGGCTATAGATGTCACCGGAGATCGACAGCCCCCAACGCGGTGTCGGGTTTAGGCTTTACAGCCAGGGCATTCCACCCTTGGGGCGTTCTGCCTTAAGGGGCCCTTAACTATGAACCCTAAAGCCTCAAAACCCTACAGCAAACCGAAAGGTTTGCGTACATACTTACATAGTTCTTAAATTTGGGGGCCAAGGCTTCAAGACTCTGAGTGTAAGGTTTGTAGCTTTGGGATTTAGGGTTTGGGGGCTGCAGCTGCTGGTAGGTGGCTGTTTCTGGCGCTTCCTGCTGGACAAAGCATCGCACTACGCGTACTCAGTTCCCAGAGAGCTCTGTACAGTTGTGGCATGAGGGGTGTGAACTGCTGAAGGCGGAAATGGGTTAGAGATCTGCTGAAGGCATAGGATGCTGACATGCTCATACATGTTCTGCTTCTCGGCCGCTGAAATCCAAATGGCTGTAGTTCGGTCAAGAAGGTGCTTGTCAAGAGTGTGTTTAGACACTGACCCACGCGACCAGATACCTGCTCCACAGGTTGCGCTGCAACGCTCGTCGATACGTAGAACAGACACCGAGAAGCTAGTGTCCTTTCTTATGACACATGATCTGCCCACTCTGTCGATTCCAGACGCTCTCGGCTACGCATGGCGAGCTCAGACGTATCGAAAAGATCATACACAAGTGATAGGAGTAGTCACGCATGATGGTGATAACAAGGCTACTATAGGGGTTACCACATCTTACCACGCATGGGTGGCGATAGGGTTTTAATTAACACATGGTTTCCCTACACCAGAGCCGCCTCAAATCATCCTTTAGGGTTCTGAGCCTCCCCGGAACGTCTTGACCGCAGGATGCTCCTTTGAGAAGGCATGGAAATGCACCTGTTCGGAAAATGAGGCAGTATACTATCGTATAGTGTAGTGTATTATAGTATACTATAGTTAGTAGGTCATAGTGAACAGCATGCTGATGTTTTCTCAGACTTGGGTGTAGCGCTCGTACATCTGAAGCTCTCAACTTCACAAGCCTCAAACCACAGCACCTGCTTCCGCGGCCGATGTGCGATCTTGTTTTGTAGAAGCCGCCACAAAAAGATGCTATGCATACTTCTGCTCGCAAGAACAACCCAGAACTGGATCAAAGCTGTTGAGGGCTTCCCAGGACCGGTCCAAACACCGCACTGTTCCATCTTCCCTAATTGGAAATCAGACCGGTTCGGTTATTTGTTCATTCATGGCTTGAGGGTTTAGGGTTGTTTGTTCAGCTTCCCGGGAGGGCAAAAACACACTGCCGGGCGCAATTTCAAACGGGCAGACCGCGCATTCGTCACAGAGCGTATTGCAGCCCATCGATTACGAGATCTGGCTTTGTGAACCCTAAACTAAAACTGAAAGCTTCGTACCAACAGCCCAAAATTGCAACCAACTGTCAACTTGCCCCCCTCCCACCCTGGCTTCCCTGGCTTCGCTTCGGATTCGTCGCATTTTGGTTTTGAGTAGGCTGGGGACCAGCGGGCCGGAAAGAAGCCCTGAAGTCCTCAAGCCCTGAGCCCTCAACCATCGTTGATTGATTGATGGCCTTTCCTGCCTCCGAAACAGCAATAACGAGAACGGAAGATTCAACCGTTTACTTCTCTGCCGGTATAGTCGCCAGGGCTGGGATACCATGCGGGATACTCTAGGAGGGGCGGCACTGCGGGATGCTCTGAGGGACACTTTCGGACTGGGCACTGAAGGGATGGAAAACTCCGTGAAATACTTTGGTGTGAGCCCTCCTGGAACTGGTGGGCACTCCAAAAGATACACTGCAAGATAAAACTGACTGAGAGTGGACGCTCCAAGCATACTGTGTGGGATACTTGCACTGCAGGGTTAATTACTGAGCGGGGGTTTTTGAGGGTGGGCACTCAAAGAATGCTTTGAGGGTGCACACTACACGGATACTCTGCGGATACTTTGGGCGTTTTGGGGGCTCAACAATCCAGGGATTCTCTAAGGGGGTGGGCATTCCGGTGAAATTCTGGGGGGTAATGTATGTGACGATTGACACTCCAGGAATACTCTGCACACTACATACAGGAATGCTCTGTCGGGCACGAAGAGCAGGAGAGCGCGAGGACAGTCAGAGCAGCAGTCATGTGCTCTATAAGTCTAGCTCCGCGGGAAAAACACGGCACCTTTTCAACGTGCCGCAAGTCTTGCACCTGGCCCCGTCTGCAGCTCTGCCACGGAAGAGATACTTTCTAGCCTACGGCAAGCACGCAAGCAGTGCTTGCACGTTGTGCTCGCCTAGGGTGAAACAAGTCCGAGAAGTTCGAGAAAAGATCGTCATGAAAGCTCGGTGGCGATGGAAGATCAAACGATGGAAAAGGCCTGGGGGTTCTGAAGGGTGGACGTTCCAAGGGTGGGCGCGCACTAAAGCGCTCAAACGTGCGTAGCTCCACGCCTGAGTCGATAGACCATGGCATCAGACAGCATGAACATGAAAGAAGAGCGTCGTGTTGCAAACAAAGCATGGGCCGCACATCCTCACAGTGACACAATGCGTGTAGATGTACATACACACATACATACATACATACATACATACATCATACATACGTACGTACATACATACATACATACATACATACATTAACACAAACATAGATACATAGATACACACATACATACATACATACATACATACATACATACATACATACACAGGTACATTTATTTATTTCTGAACTCAAGCAGAAAACATAAGTGACAAAGCCTATCTGTCCCACGAAAGTTGGTTGCCAGATAACTTGCCAGCTGGAACATGGAAAGTTACAAAGCTTTCAGCCGAGTGGCCGTCATAGAGCGTCCTCGGTGCATCATCCAGCACGTCAAGCACTAGCTTTGCCCCATTTGGAAGCTCCATGTTCAAGAACTTCCGAACATCCGTGGCCGAAAGTAGGAGGTCAAAGTAGCCGACCTCACCAGGCTTCTCCGGCACGTTGATCACCGCCGCCTCGACAGTACGTTTCTTGATATAGTTCGTCATCTTATGGGCCTGATTCACCAAGTCGATGCTATACTGAATCTCATAAACGTCACAGGTGGACCGCTGATTGTTCACCCCGAACACTGGCGTCTGCCGAAGTCGTTGACCGGATCGTAAGCCCAAGAATTCAAACGCTTGACGCGAGATGCAGGTATGTGCAGTGTTTCCACTGTCCAGATGCAATATGAACCTTTGCATGTGCGACGAATCCGCCACATGAGTTTATCCCTTCACCCAGCCATGAGTCTCCGGGCACCAACGGTTGGCTGATCCGCTGAATATCATGCCGGTGGTCCAGCTGGGAAGTGGATGGTGACATGTCCACGCATCCTCTTTGCTGGAGGCTCCCGCGCCCGCCTGACTGAAACTTCCGCAGGGTCGGAGGGAACGGCTAAGGCAGCTGCTCGCACTAGACCTTCTTTGTCAGCCTTCTTGGCGGTTGCAGAATCTAATGCATTTTCTTGCGCTTCAATCCTCTGCCGAAGCAGACGCAAACCACAGCTTTGTCTTAGCTTTGCAGCCAATCCCACGCAAACTTGCGACAGCAACGCCTACTGCCTCTCTTGCAGCACTTTCATCTTCCGCACCTCTGCTGCACACTCCTTCGACGCTGCCTTGAAAGCAGCGTCGGCTGCAACTTTCTTCTCATGCAGCGACATTGCCGCAACGATCCAAGCACTCCCTCCCCGCTAAACATGAGTCTGCTTGCAGCATTGCGGTATTTGGCGAATTGCTGTTTTCCAAGGATGTTTCTGAGTGACTTCCGTTTGTCTGCAACTTAAGCACTTTCAGCATATTTCCGAAATCCACATGCAGAAATCCACAAAGCTCCGCTTGGACAGGCCAGTGCTGCGACGTCCGACACCTGCACCAATGTTGAGAGTACCTTCAAACGACCGGAATGCCACCCGCCTCCACACCTCCCCGCTCTCTCTGGGGAGGGTGTTGTCAGCTCCCACTCTGTGATAGCTACAGGCCCATGTTCGAGACATGGGTCAGAATTCCACACTTTTGGGCACTGAC